AATTCAATGAAAATACTTTCCTCTTTATACTAATGTTAGGTATTTGCAGGGATTTAAGATATTTGAGAGGACAAAGTGAAGACAGGCAATTTTGGAATAAAGAATGTACTGGGGATAGAAGTAGAAGAAAGTAAAGCACAGCGAGGCACTCCGATAAAAGGACCCTAGGAGGTAACTGGGGGGCCGAGAAAGGGAGATGAATAGGGACGAAAAGCATCTCATCTACTTGCAAGTCTTAAAGACTAAAACTCAGGCTGGTATCATAGCTAAGGTACATTATAAATGAACTTGGCTCCAGAACTAGTCCTCAAAACCCTTCTATAGGAAAATGTCTCTTTGCATCTAAAACATTAACCTAAACTGAACTCCAGAACACTGATCTTTTGGAATGTTTGAAACTGCTTATATAGTCCTAACCATGACAGTGGAAAAAAGAGGGAATGCATGCAACACAGGCAAACACCCAGTAAAAAAATCCAAAGCATCAGCATTTGACTCTGGAATATAAACACATACATAGCTCATACCCAAACCCTCATCCCTGGATTTAGCCCTAACTCTCTCCACTTGATTTTACTATTGGATGGTGACAGGAAGTCAGCTCTGAGTTTCAGTCTTATCATCACTCACTTGGTGACAATGTAGAGACCCAGAAATTATCTAAACCTGCTCAGGTTTCAAAACTAAGCTAGCTTTTCTGCTCCTGCAAGAGGAGTCATGTCACTAGCTTCTACTCCATCTCACCACATGTTGAGACGGTTGCTTTTGGTTTCAGGGTGTGTTCTCTGCCTTACCCAGCCATACGACTCTACCATGAAAGGTTCAGGTGCTTCACCTGCACCTCAGGCGGCAGAGCAGCCACTTCTTTTTGTTTTGGCCACCTGGCAGCCATTCCTCTTCCTCCTGGAACAGCCCCTTGGCTTTGCTCTGGAAGAACCACTCTTGTCCCACAAATACAGTAGTAGGCACATGACCCAAGCAAGCCAGTGAGAAACTTTCTCCCTGCAATATGGGTCCTGAGCGGAATGACAAGGGCAGTAAAGGAATGAAGCTGATCTCACTTAGCGGGGGACCTGAAAATGCAACCCACTAGTGCCTAAGACAGATTGCTGGAGTTAGCCTGGTTCTGTCCTTCCTGACCAAATTTTTTTTAGCTTTTCCTTAACCCCCAAGAGCAACCCCGAATCTTTACAATAAATTCCTTTTTCTATTCAAGCCAGCCAGTTTCTGTTCTTGTTACTATAGAACCTTAATACATTTCCATGTGGTATTCACTCTTCCTGTCATGTCTTCCAAACTGATCCTTTAAAATACTGCTCCTGGACTGAGCTTCCTAAAACAAAGCTTTGATTATTCATCCAACACATACATTAAATATTACTATTTTAATTCAACTTACTTATTGAACTCCAATTATGTAAAGGCATGGTTTGATGTATCCGAAATAGAGGAGTGCTCAAAACAGACAAGGCCCCCACTTTCTAGTAAGGTAAATCAGATGATAAATAAAGAAACAAACAAAAAAGGTAACTTTGGATTGTGCTAAGTGCTATGATGAGAATAAACACAGTACAACTGGATGCAGTACCTAGGTCAGGACATGCTTTGATGTAACATTTTAGGTGAAACCTAAGGCTTGAATGAAAGAGCCAGCCTTGATACCGTTTAGAAACAAAATACAAAGCTCAGCTCAAGTGCCAGCTCCTCCATGAAGCCTTCTCTTATAGGCTGAATTCCCCCCCAACCCGTCCCCCAACCAAATTCGTATGTTGGAGTCCTAACCCCCAACACCTCCTAGTGTAATTGTATTTGGAAATGAGATTTTTAATGAGGTAATTAAATTAAAATGAAATCTTTAAGGCAGGCCCTAATCCAATCTGATTGGTGTTCTTATAAGAGGATATTAGGACACAGACATACACAGAGAGATGACCACGTGAAGGCACAAGGAAAAGATGCCATCTACAATCCAAGGAGAGAGACCTCAAGAGGAACCAACCCTGCCTGCACCCTGACCTTGGACTTAGCCTCTAGAACTGTGAGAAAACAAATTTTCGTTGTTTAAGCTGCCCAGTCTGTGGTACTGTCATAGCAGCCCAAGCAAACTAATATACCTTCCTTGACTACTTCAGTTTATAATGAGCAAACACCTTTCAACTCCTGTATTATGTTGAGTCGGCACCATTTATGTAGTGTTTATTCACTGCCTTATTTTGCTAGGCATTTGTGTCTCTCCAACAAGACTGTAAGCTATTTAAGGACTGATCTTTTAGCAGTCTTCATAACACCCAACATAGTATTTTGCACAATAAACATTTGTTGACTTTCCTGTACTCTCTGCTCCAATTAAATGCAGGAGTGGAAATTATACCTTTTGACTCTCTTCCTAAAGTAAAGCTGGTCACATCACCTTTTGCACAATAAACATTTGTTGACTTTCCTGTACTCTCTGCTCCAATTAAATGCAGGAGTGAAAATTATACCTTTTGACTCTCTTCCTAAAGTAAAGCTGGTCACATCACTGCCCTGCTTTAGAATACCGTATTGATTACTCTATTACTTCCTGGAGAAAATCTACCCTATAGACTGGCATACAAGACTCTTCACACTCTGGTCGCAATTCATCTCTCCACCCTTACTGGACACTTCTTATCATCTCCCCTACAAACTTGCACATCCAGTTTCGGCCACCTAAAATATCTTTTCTTTCCTTTACTTGGCTAACTGCTATAGAAAGATCAGCTAAAATGATACTGTCTCTGCAAATGTTTTGTAAATTGCCCCTCGCCAGCAGCTCAGTCATCTAAACTACAGTACTTCACCTCTCTGCAATAATATCACAATTTCAGTCGATCTGCTTTTTACACCTATTTCCCTCATGAGACTCCCTACAAGGAAGAGCCTTTGTTTTCATCTGTGTATCCTAATGCCCAGCACAAGGCCTGGCGAGTATCTTCTGGGCAAAGAGAGAAATCATCCATCTTGAGGATCAAGACCCGGACTTGCTCACTTTTATTTCTCCAGCGTCCATTACAGAGCCAGCACGTGGCAGTTTTCTTTGCTTTTTCTATGAGGCCATGTGGCTTTAATATCCCTACTGGATTAAATCTGTATCTTTGCTTAGACTTCTTGAGACTGAAGCCTCTCAGGTGGAGAGGTGCCTACTGAACAGTTCCATTACAGTATATCCCCCATGTCCAGCATGGTACTGAGGATCCACATACTCTCGTCCTTACCCCCACATCTGCTTGTGTTCACATACTCACTACTTAGTTTGCTGTGCAGCCAGCCACTAGGTCTCCTAAACCAGAAACTTCTCTTTCCTTCAATCACTGCAATCTGTCAAATCTAACTTCTAAATAGCTCTAGGATCTGCTCTCTCCATTGGATTTGGGGACAATTAAAATTGCCCCTTCAATTCTCACCTCTTCCAGAGACTTCCTTAATAATTTAACCCCTCTTTTGTCATTTAAAATTTTTCCTTACCAGTATATTCCCTGTTACATAATACTGTAAGTTACTCAGGGACAGGGGTTATTATCTTCAACTTTTATTTCCACAGAATGAAGCACACTATAAGTTCAATACATAGTGTTAAAAGGAAGATCGAATTAAACAAAGTTACTTGCAAATAAACCAATGCCTTAAATTTCTACTTTATTTTTAACATCAATATTTAGGGGTATTTAAATTTAAACTTAATGACTACTAGTCATTAGAAATGGAGGCGGGATTTACTCCTTCAAGCACCACAGAGTTTTTAGAAATAATTTTCAATGATAAATCTTTCTAAGATAGATTAACCCACTTTCTTGTCTTAAACAAGGGACAAAGAACATAATGCAAGCTCCTTCTTTGATGACTCAGGGTCATCAGCACGAACAATCACTGGACTATGCTATAACACACAGACGCCCTCAGATACTGGAGGTGGATAGAGCTGTTAGCTCTCGCTCCAAAAAAAGAAATCCCAGGCAGTATGAGGTTACGAGGTCTGATTAATTTTTCTCCCCATCTCCCACTGTCGGGCAATCCCCCTGGAGTACTCGTCTAAAAATACACCACTTCCAAATGTGCGCTTAAGCGGTGTTCTCCGGGACCTCTCATTCCCCGTGGCTGCAAGTGCACGGCAGGGCTTCCCTGCGATTAGACAGCATGCTCTTTTGTAGGTAGACCGCGGAACGTGCTCCAGTTAAACGGAGTCTGGCTGATAAGCAAAGCTATGAAAAGATCACGGGGGCGGCCGCACAGTCTCCGGGCAAGGTCTGGACCCCCTCCGCTTCCCCAAGCCTCCAGCCGCAAACTCGGGGCCAGCAGGGGCTCGCCTGAGAGGGCGGGCGGCCGGGCCACGGCCGAAAAGGAAGCTCCCGGCGGCGAGGGAGAGTGCTCGGCGCACGGCGGGCGTCGCAGAGCCGGCCATCTCCGGGCTCGGGGGATGGTGGCCGCGCCGCGAGGCCCGCCTTCCGCGGGAGGAAAGCCCGCCCGACCTCCGGCAGTCATGCTCCGGTCGGGGTCGTCATGGGCCGCGGCAGGTGCGGTCCCCACCGCTGCCCGCTCGCCCGCTTCCGGACGCCCAGCTCGAGGCCCGGGCAGGCCCCCACACTGCCGGCGGGGAGCGCGCGCCCTCCACCGCAGGAGTTTCTGCCGTTCCGCGCGAAGGGCGCGCCCCCTACCCCAGGGCAGCCCGGTCAGCCCGAAGAGCTCGCCCAGTGAGGGAACGGGGCATGCGCAATGGCGAGGGCGAGGCCAAGTGCGGGCAAGGAGCATGCGCAGTGTGAAGGCACAATCGGCTACGTGGGACTCCAAGGCGTGCTCGGTGAGCGCTAAGGTCCCGCGCACGCGCAGAAGCGCCCGGCGCCCTCAACCCGCTGGTGGAGAGAAAAAAGAGGAGAGAAATCACCTCAGAGTTACGTCAGGAAAAGCCGCGTTTCGCGGGCAGGCTGTAGCCTCCCACGGGGCTCCGCCGTTTTCCTTAAGGGAGAGGCGTGACAGTTACTCACCGGCCTTCAGCCCGAGGCAGACGCCGGGCCCCTTTCCGCTCACACTCGGCTCGCGCGCGCCACAGCCGCCGCTGCCGCTGTGATTCCATCCATCTTGAATTTGACGTCATCCCACACCAGGGATGAGGTCATCGCAGGCAGCGCTCGTCACGTGCGCGGCTCTGTGATTGGTCGCCGGGTGTCGGGGGGCGGGGCGAGGGAGGTGCGCGGCGCCTGCGACTGGTGAAGGCGGGCCTGCCGGGAACCGCGGCCGGTGCCGCCATCGGCCTGCTCCCCGCGCCCACCGCCCCGGCTCTCACACTGCTCCCTGCATTCTCTGTCCTTGAGGGGAGCCCGCGGCAGCCCTGAGGGGAGGTGGCCGGGCCGGGGTCCCGCCGACTCTGCCGCCGGACGGAGGCCGCCGCGGGTGGTCTCTGCGGCCATTTTGCGGCGGTTCGGGCCGGCGGGGGACGCGGTGCATTGCGGCTAGCAGGCTTGCGCTGCCGCACTACCCTTCGAGGGCGAGGACCGCTGGTGCGGGAGCGCTCGTTCCGTTGGAGACGAGGCGAGGACCCGAGCCGAGGACCGTGACGTCGGGCGCCCTGAGCGTCCTCACTGGCGTCGCGAGGCACTCGCAGTGGCCAAGGGCCCTCGGGTCTGGCGACCTGCGGTCGGGGTCTCGGCAGCGGAGGCGTCCAGGCCTGCGCGGAAGTCCCCAGGATGCGGAGCCGGCTGAGGATGGCTCTTGAGGGTTTCCATCTTCTCCCTCCCAAGGTGACCTGAGCGCAGGGTGGCTGGATGGAGGATCTGAGTGAACAAGTTGGGCCCCAGGTTCGTTCCGCCTGCAAGATTTGGATGTCTGTCCTGATTGTCAGCCCCTGTGGCATCTGGTCAGACACTTTTCACACACCAAATACCTCATTAAAAAAAAATGGTATTGAGTTAAATGATCAATAGACAGCTAACTTGTTCTCCATAATACCAATTCTCACTTGGAATCTCTTGGATTTTTAGTTTTCTTGCATGAATATTACAACTCTATTTATTTGAAAACTTGCTTCACTTTGAATCAAAACCAGAAAGTTAAATAACAGAAATGTCAAACTGTTGATACCAACTCCAAAGAAAGGTTCTCTAGTGTAGACAAGCTAAATAGAACATCCTTTTTTTTTTTTTTTTTTTTTTTTTTTTTTGTCCTTTTTGAGACCAGCCGCACCGTGCTCAGCCAGTGAGCGCTCTGGTCATCCCTATATAGGATCCGAACCCGCGGCGGGAGCGCTGCCGAGCTCCCTCCCGAGTGCGCCATGGGCTCGGCCCAAGAGGACTCAATCTTAAAGGATCTTGCACCTAAAAATTTTCTCCTACAACTATTTAAAAACTTTAGAGAATGTCTTTGTAGTTTGAACGCTAAAGCAAAAAGTATCTTTGTACTTCAAAGAAGGTAGACGGCAACAGTAATTGTAAGTTTTTCAAAGGGCCTTGAGTTTTAGGATCCCGGTGATTAGGATTGGTGAGCAGACAGTTATCCCTATTTTACAGGTGAGAAAATCAGTGCTGAACTGGTTTTCTGATTCTCAGTTTACTATACCATATGCCAAATGCGGTGCTCCTTGACCATTTATCCCTTTGTAGCTACCTGTTTTTTCCACCTTCCTCAGGAAGGTACACATTGGTGTCTCCACACTAAGCCATATGATCAGGCTTTTGGTCTCACCATTCGACTGAAACGGGCCTAACTGCCAAATGCAGCAGAAATCTTTCCATCTTGCAGTTGGTCTCTTTAATTTGTGCCACTCTTCAAAATTCCTTCTTCAAAATTGATTGTTTCTGTTATGTCTCATTGCCCTGGATTTTCTACCTCTTACCTGACTGCTGCTTCTTGGCCTCCTGTGTTGGCTTCTCTGCCCCTGACCCTGCTCAAACTTTGCGTTTTCCCTGGGTTCTGACCTTGGCTCTCTTGTTATACTCTCATCTGTCCCTGGGACACTGGCCTGGTTGCCTGAGCCATCCTCCGTTCCTCCCTCATCTCCAGTCTGTCACCAGGTCCTGTCCGTCCTACCTCCTAAATGTTTCTCTGAAAATGTAACCACTTCTTTCTCTCCTAAACAGCTTCCTAACTTGTAAAGCTAGGTGACTACCCCAATTGTATGGTTAGGCAATTGTATTGTTAAAGCAATTTGTTTTACTTACACTGTTTTCCATTTGTATTGTCAGGGCTAGGGCTCAGACCCTTCAAACCCGTTGTACAGACTGGGTCACTAGACCCCTCACACGCAGGTCCATACTCCAGGTAATTGGGAAACATCCCAGGAGCCACTGGCAAGTGACATGAGCTCAGTCCTCAGCAGTAGCAGCAGAAGCAGCAGCTATGGTGGCCTCTTGAGGCATCCCAGGGGCACTGGCAGCAACAGCCTCGAGCAGCAGTAGAGGCCTCCCAGTGCCTGCCCCCCCCCACCAGGGGGCATCCCGGGGATGGGGGCCCTGAGGATCAGAGCCACTCGTCCTTTATACTTAAGTCCATAACCTGGGCGAACATACACAATTACATTAGACAATAACCAAGGAACACCTGAGCACACATGCATACTTACATCAAATGCTTGACAAGATTCTAAACATCCGAGGGGCCCTGACCATTTTCCTATATTTACCCTACATAACTGGTGTCCTAGCCTCCAGGATTTTCCCCTTTAATGCACCCTCATTTTGCAGCCAAGGTGATCTTTTGAAAAAGCGAAATGTAGCATGCCACTCCCTTGCTTTAGTTTTTGATGGCTATCCATTGCTCTTAGGATAAAGTTCAAACTCCAACCTACAAAAGCCTCATAGCTTGGCCCTCCTTTCCCCCATCTCTCCCCCAGTCCCACATAGACACACACCTTCTGTAAACAAGTCTTGCCCTGTCTCTCGCCTCTGGGCTTCAAGGGTGCTGGGCCCTTTACCTGAGCTATTACTCCACTTCCACCACGCACACACCCTGTTTTACCTGATACTTTCATCTCCTTGACTCAGGTTACTTCCTCCAGGATTCCACCGCCTCCCTACTCCCAACCCTGACTGGCACCTCCCCAGCCTCATTTGGGTTTGTGCCCTGCCTCTGTGTTCCCATAACACATTGTGTGGGTTTCGTTAGTAACCACTTGTGGAGGTGCCATTGGATTTGCCTGCTCATCCCCCATCTCAATAGGCTTCTTGTCCCTGTGCCTGCCCTATGCCTAGTACAATGCCTGGCCTATAGCAGGAGCTCAACATATCTGAAGCATCCCAAACAGAATCTCTAGCACCATATGCACATCCATTCGCATATACAAAATTCACATCATTTATATAGCCACCTTCGTGTTAGGCATCACCATCTGGATAACCCAAAGCTGCACACTCAGCAAGCTCACAGCTGAACTTCCTATCTGCTTCTATCCATGAACCTGTTCTTTCCTTGTTCCTGTCCTACTTAATTAAAGGGGCTGCTGTCTGCCCTATTACCCAAGCCAGGAACTTGATGGCTATTTCTCAAAATCTGCCCTCACCTGCCCTACTTCTGCTGTTCCTGGCCTTCAGCATCTCTGGCCAATCTGTAGCCACTCAACCAAGTTTCTGCTTCAGTTTTGCTTCCTTCCCTCTGTTTTCAGTCAAATTCGTCTTTCTGAATGCAAATCTGACCAGCAGCTCTGGTGCTGAATACCCGCCCTCCTGTGACTTCCAGCTCAGTTTTGCTTCCTTCCCTCTGTTTTCAGTCAAATTCGTCTTTCTGAATGCAAATCTGACCGGCAGCTCTGGTGCTGAATACCCGCCCTCCTGTGACTTCCAGTTGTCTGCAGCCTCAGTGCTGGTGTGGCCTACCAAATGCTGACAAGGTGACTTTGCTCCCTGTCCACCTCATCTGCTCCCCAGTGTTCACCAACTCCTCTGGCCATGCATGCCCAGGGCAAGTGCTTCCTGGGATGCTCTTTTTCTATTCCATCTGCATGAAAAATCTGATTTCTATTTCAGGTGTCAGAGCAAGGCTGCTTCCTGCTATGTTTCAGTTTCTCCACTGCAACATCTATTCCATCTATTCTTGGCTGCTCAAGGCCAGGTTCAACACCAGTTTGTAGGCTCCTTTGGTGTAGAGACTATGTCTGTTAACCCTTGTATTCCCAGAGCTTTGGGCCTGTGCCAGGGCTGTGTCCTGGGCCACCTGCTCCCAGTGGCTAGAGTTTTCCCTCAGAAACTGTCACAATAGTAAGCAAGTCTTTGATATATTAGTGATATACTATATAGTGATATACTGTGGTATACTATAACTCAGTTTGTTTGCATTTATTATACCAAAAAATCAGTCCTTTTATAAATTGGGGGAGGGAAGTCTATATGGGGTTTTAAAACAAGCCTCTGTGCATTTGGAAGTGAGAAGTTTTAATCAGCTGTGATTCTCAACCATCATTTCATTTTGAACTCATATCTGGATGTCCACATTTGCCCAAACTGTGGGTTGGGTGGTTGTCCCTTTAAAAAATTAGGTTGAGATAGAGGGTGATGTATTAGTCTGCTATGGCTGTTGTAACAAATTACCACAAACGTGGAGGCTTAAAACAACAGAAATTTATTGTTTCACAGTTCTGGAGGCCAGAAGTCCCAATTGGTATTACTGGGCTGAAATCAGGGTGGTAACAGTGCTGCACTTCCACTGGGCGATAAAGGAAAAATCCACTCCTTGCCTCCTTCAGCCTCTGGAGACTGCTGGCATTCCTGGGTTTATGGCTGCATCGCTGCAGAGATTGCTCTGCCTCCAAGGTCACCTTGCCTCCTTTCAGTCTGTCAAATCCCCCTTGTCTCTGTTTTCTAAGGACACTTGGGAAGATATTTAGGACCCACCTGGATAATCCAGGATAATCTCCCCATCTCAACATTTTAAACTTAATCCCATCTGCAAAGATCATTTTTCCCTTATGAAGGTAACATTACAGGTTTCAGGGATTAGGACCTGATATCATTAGGGGTCTCTATTCAGCCAACTACAGATGAGGACAGCATTCCTGTATGCAAGTGGCAATGGGGAAGGTCTTTGGGAATGGAAAGCAGGGAAGGTGAGGATGATGGTAAAATGTTAGGTTGATGTGTAATTATGACAGACACCTTTACTGTGGATGCCACTTCCAACGCTCAAACTCAGAACTGGAGTGACAGCCACAGAGCACTCTTCAGCATGGCTGAAGTTAGGTTGGGTTAAGTGGAGATCCCTCTGGGTCCTGACAATTGCAAAGTTCTGTCTTTAAACATTATCATAATAGAAGAGGGGTATTATTGTCCAGCCAGAAACATTCATCATTGGTGTGCTTTTCTCTGAAGGGCCTAATGCTGCTTCCTGTCTATCCTCACCACCTCATCCTCCTTGTCACTCAAAGACCAGATGCTTTCAGGTCCCTTCAGTTCACCAAACACAGGCCACTGATAGTAACTGGGTCACATCAATAACTCCACACCAGTCTCTGGTAAGCTTTTGCCCAAAGCAAGATTGGAGCAGACTGTGTGTGTGTGTGTGTGTGCGCGCGCGCGCATGTGTGTAACAGCAGTAGTAATCTGGCTATTTAATTATAAGGTATGTGTACAATAAGAAAGTGGATTTAGATGGAACTTCTTATCTGCTATTCAATAAATTGTTACCATAAAGGGATGTTATCATAAAATCCACAGCATGGGATTCCTTTGGTGAAGAAAGACGGATTCTGCATTCCCAGGCTGTGTGGACTGGCGTGAAGAAGGGCAGCAAGTGTTTAACCAGTGTGAGCTGTGATCTCATCCTCACAGCCACCCTGCTGTGTAGCAGCAGTAATTCCCATTCACACCCCAGGAGAGTGAGGCTCATTAAGACTAGGCAGTGGAGAGGAGGGGTTGGAACCACCTGACAGTAATGTCCATGACTTTTCAAATAGATATGAAAATATTTCAGACTTGTATGGTAGAATTTAACTAGCTAGCTCTTTATCTTAATTTTTCCTAAATGGGAAGGAGTGAATCCAGAGCACAGCACTTTGGATGATTTGGGAAAGGAGAAAGGTGTGCACAGGGGAAGGAAGCAGGAAGCAGAAGTATTCTACTCCAGGTATGCTTAACCGGTGAACTACTTGACCAGCTGTTTATTCTTTTTTTTTTGTCCTTTTTGAGACTGGCCGCACCGTGCTCAGCCAGTGAGCGCTGTGAGTGCACCGGTCATCCCTATATAGGATCCGAACTCGGGGCGGGAGCGCTGCTGTGCTCCCAGCACCGCACTCTCCCGAGTGCGCCACGGCGTTTATTCTATAAAGAGCAAGGTGTGTGGGAGGATGGAATAGACCCATCTTCTGCCATTCCTCTCTTTTTCTCCCTGCCTTCATCATTATCATTTATGCGTGTCATGGCCCCAGGCTTTGGGACTGTGAAGATGAGTACGAGATGATCTGTACCCTCAAGGAGTTGGCATTTTTTCCATGAAAATAGACATGAATTATCGATATAGGTGGTGAATGCTGTGAGACACACGTGCTCAGGGTTATGAGGTGCAGAGCGGGGGAAGTGGTTCTGCTTCTCCCAGGACCCAGATCCAGACGGGCCCCAGGCTGGAGATGCCAGCCTTTGTCCTTTCAGTGCACAGAGCTCCCTGGGCCACAGCCTGACAAAGGCATGCCCTGGAATCCATCAGTAGCCGCCCCCACCCCCACTCCCACCCCGTGCAATGGCCACGCAGAAATAAATGCCCTTGACAAAGGCCATGCTGATTCCTGCACAGGCAGGAGGGAGCTGGACATTTGCTGTTCTGGATTTACAAGCTGAGACAGATTGTGGGAGAAAACAAGGAACTCACTAGAGGGCATTAATCTGGGTGGCCCTTTCCAAGCAGCAGCTTATGCTCTGCACCTGCGAGGGGAATCCACTGTTTCTTTCACCACATTTCAAAGCAGCTGAGCATGTTTATTCAATTTGGACATCAAGCTTCGTGTGTCGCTGTGCAGTTTATGAATAGACAGTTAAAAATGCTGACTAAATGAGCTGACCCTAAAACTGTTTTTAAAACACCCAAGATATGACTGGTTTTTGTAATTGTTTTTAAGTCTTGGAGACTTTAGAGCTTTACTCCTTCACTGTTGGTAAGAGTCAGCGAGATAGTCCCAAGAATTTTGTCTTATAAGAATCAACTACACTTAAAAATGATGTGATTGGAGCATGTGATGGGGTAGTAGGAGGCACAATGTTTGGGCATCCCTGTGAAATCGGATTTCCGTTTCACATTTAGTCTCCTCTTCCATCAATGGACTGGAGAGATGGTTTGGTCTCATCGTGACGACATGATTATCAAGATACTATCATCAGTATATTATTAGCAGTGTAATAATTATTCCAAAATGAAGCACTGTGTTCTTTCTCATGGGCTTGAAGGTAGCTCATCAGAATTCTGTGTTAAAACTAAAATCCTTCCCAATGCTGCAAGGAGGGGTCATCACTGCTTTCACCATCTTTTACTGGCTATTACAGTAAGCGGCCTCTCCTGGGTTCAGTACAAAAAGACCCCTAAGTGGCACCCAAGACAATTGCACTACAGTAAAAAACATCACTTGTTTTAGCAGGTATAAAGTAGCCTTCAGTATAGCATTGCTCAGATAATGTTTAAAATAGGATCGAAAATGTGTTGGTGCTGAGTGTGAGATTAAAAAACAATGACACAGGTTAACAGAAAAAGTGATAAGATAAAGACAGACTCCCTCATGTCCTGTGAGCTATGTGGCGATAAATTGGTAGAAATAATTTACTCAAAATATACTTTCACATTTGAAGTATATCAATATAAAAGTCAAGAAGTGTAAAAATGGGTGCTTACAGAAAAATTCAGAGAAAGTCCATACAAATCTATAGTAATTGAAAAATAGGATGTTAGAAAAGGTTGCTAATCAAAGTAGTATTGAATTTGCAAAAATTGGAAAGTTTCAAACTGTCTGAGCAAAGCTGTATTAGAGGTAGGTGCTGTGGGAGCTGAACAGGAGGTTGCGGCACAGTGCTGGCATCGAGAAGAGCTGTGCTTCGCTTGCTGTGGCATCCTGGAGTAAGGAGACTCAGCAGCAGGCTGAATAAACTCAACCAGTGACACTGACATGAAATGCTGCTCCAGTGCTTTCCCAAGGTAACCCTGACATGCGCTCCCTTAACAGTCTCATGTTATTTCTGATAGTGGACATCATTACTGAGTTATATAGGAAGGATCCAAAAATTGACCACAAAGTTGTAATAATGGGGGGAAATGTAGATTCACTGATAATCAGGAAGTTCTAGATTACCTTTTAGAGTTTTGCAATACACTAATGACTCAGGAATAAATAGAACTCTGTAGAAGTATTTTCCAGTGCGCGAGACGGACCTTACCATTGTCCACATGTTTGGGGCATTGTAGATTCACTGATAATCAGGAAGTTCTAGATTACCTTTTAGAGTTTTGCAATACACTAATAGCTCAGGAATAAATAGAACTCTGTAGAAGTATTTTCCAGTGCGCGAGACGGACCTTACCATTGTCCACATGTTTGGGGCATGTGACATGTGAGTGCAGCACTGTCCTCTCTACTGGGCAGCTGAGCTGGAGCACCTGGACAGTCTGTCTTTCAAAGGCCAGCAGGGCGGGTGCTGCCGCTTGGTAGTCCCTTCTCTGAGCCTCTCCACCGAGCAACACCTGGGACCCAGGAGACGCCTCTCTTACCACACCCTACTGGAATGTGGGCTCACAAGCCCATCTCTACCACTAGATAGTCAGCTCCCTCACTTCTTGGCTTGAAGATACTAGGCAGGGAGGCCCCTAGCCCCAGGTCAGGGCTCCAGTGACCTTTGTGGATTGAATGGGATTTTTCCTTTACAGAGAGTAGCAGAGACTTCCTGAGCTTCTCTCTGGATCATCACCTTCTCCACCCCAGGGCAGTTGGGATAATTACATGTCCCGCCCTCTGCCATTAGATAGACCATGTGACCAGTTGTGGCTGGTGTGGTATGATCAAAAGTGACATTTGTCACCTGATTGTTCAACAATGTTTTTTATGAACAGTATCAACGAACATTTATTGAGCATGTGCCAAGTGGTGAAGGTGCACTGTGCTGGCTGGTGGGTGCAGACAGCCTCAGCCCCAACACAAAGAAGGAGCAAAGCATGTCACAGGCATACAGATGAGTTCATCAACACTTTAAATACAGTGTGCGAAGTCCCTTTGAAAGCTCGTGTGGGTTCCTGTCTTGTCTCACCTTCTATGTGCCCCTCCGTCTTCTGGAGCCTCCACACTTGTCAAGGTCACCAGTAACCTCCATGTGACCAAATGCAGTGGTTGCATATGTGTCTTCATTCATTCATTCACTCATTCATTATTCTGCAGCTACTACATATGGTACACACACAGTGCCAGCCCATAGAATACCTCAGCAAGCAAAACAAAGCCCCTGCCCTCATGGGGTCTCCACTCTAGTGGAGGGAGAAAGATAATGAATAGTAAATGCAGACGAATAAGTGATACCATGGAAGGTGATAGGTGCCTTAAGAAGAAAAAAGCACAGCAGGAGGGTTGCACTTTTAAGCAGTCAGAATGGCCTCCTGAGAAAGATGTTCTAGCATGCGGGATGGGGGCAATGAGCATCCAGTTAGGTGGGGCGTGTGGGCCATCCCGAGGACTTCGGTTTTCACTCTGAGCAGGACGGGAGTCCTGGGGTGTTTGGGCAGATCTGCCCTGTTTTAGGAGGGCCACTTGCAGAATTTCATTTGACTCTTGCCTTTGGCCCAGGTGGCCATTCTTACATGGAAGCTCTCACTCAGGACATTTCCTACTACACTCCAGGAGTTCTTCCTACTTTGGTGACTACTACACCATTTTCCTCAGGATGTGGTCTTGGGATGCTCTTCTCATCTCCTTTAATGCTGTATTCCCTCTGTCCCTTGATTGCAGATACCTTTGATTCAAATGTAGGCTCTACTAAGAATACTGCACCAGGGCCCACCCTTCCTGCCTGTTGACCTCCTGCTCCGGCTGTATGAATCAATCCCAGGTATTTATCCAAAGGAATGAAATCAGGATCCCAAAGCGATGTCTGCATTCCCGTGTGCTCTGCAGCATGATTCACAACAGCCAAGATATGGAAACCACCTAAATGTCTATCCACAGATGAACAAAGAAAATGTGGAATATGCTTACAATGGAATTTCATTCAACCTTAAAAAAGAATGAAATAATGCAATATGTGATAGCATGGATGAACACTGGGAAACACTGTGCTAAGTGACATGAGCCAGTCACAGGAGGATGGATGTTGCATGATTACACCTATATGAGTCACTGAAATAGTCCACTTCATAGAATGGAAGAGTGGAATGGTGGTTGCCAGGGGCTGGGGGGAGGGGGATATGAGGAGTTGTTAATCAATAGGCATAAAAATAAGCATTTTAGTAAAGCAAGATGGATAAGCTCTAGAGATCTACATCATTGTACCTGTAGTCAAAATACTGGATTGACTATACACTTACCATTTTAAAAGGGTAGATCTCGTGTTGTGTTCTTACTACAATAAAATAAAGTAAAAATATAAAATCCTGAAATTGACATTCTCAAGCAGGCATGATGTAACCCTCCCAGAAGGAGCTTTTGTCTCAGATGAGAAAGGATCTAATTATTTTGCACATAGGCTAAGAAGGGGTTATTCATCTGGTGATGGTGCTTCCCAAACCTGTTCTTGAGGCCCAGGTCCTGCCATTGTCTGGGTGGGCAGCTGCCCAGAGCTCTCAGCCTCCCGGGAGATGTGCTTTTCATGCTGAAACCTGTACTTCCTGCAAGCATGACTTTTTAACATGGATGGTGAATATGTGAAGTCACAAGCATCCGGGAAGTATGGGTTGTGTGGTGGCCATCATGTCACCTGCCATGACCAATGAGTGTGTTTGTGCCTGGGGAGGCCTCTGTTTGAGGCAAGGTGCAGTCCGAGGACAAGAGAACCAGCCCATGTCTGCAGAAGAGTGTGGCAGGGCAGGGCCTGGCACCCCGTTGGGGATGGAACCTAGAACCCGGGGACTTGGGGCAAGGAAGCAAGCTTCTGGAAGCCTGGAATTCGGAGCTGGTTTGCCAAGGGGTGGGGAAGATCCTCCAGGGTCTTCATCCATGGGAGAAAGGAATCCCGGGACAGAGTGGTGTGCAGCCCCCACTGGCATTTTATGCAGGGCTGACTACAAAAACCATGTGTGGTGGTCTTGCAGGAAGTTGGGAGGCTGCGTCACAATGTGGTTGCTGCCAGGTAACCATCCTGTAGCTTTTGTTGTGACTTTCTCTAATGTGGTCATGGGGTCTCTCTCTAGAGAGTGGCTACAGACTCCAGCCTTGCCCTGATGGGAGGTGGCTGTGGGTGTTTACAAGTTGGGAGGCTGCGTCACAATGTGGTTGCTGCCAGGTAACCATCCTGTAGCTTTTGTTGTTACTTTCTCTAATGTGGTCATGGGGTCTCTCTCTAGAGAGTGGCTACAGACTCCAGCCTTGCCCTGATAGGAGGTGGCTGTGGGTGTTTATAGGGTGTTTCACTGGATACTTCTTTATTCCTGTGAATGGCTTTATGCCTGAGTGTCCAACCCATGACCAGGTGTCCCTCTCACAGGAGCTTGTTTATACCTTGTGGCTCTTGTCTGACCTGCATCCAGTTTATTCCTAGCAAGATAGCCACTGCCTAGAGAGCCCTGGCCAGGAGGAGAGTTATGTTCAGGTGTGTGGTCGGTGAGACACAGAAGAGGCAGCTCAGCTAGACACAGGAATGACAGGAGCAGTTTACTACTCACAGATCCCATAGAGATGAGGGCAGCAGCCTTGGAGGGCCAGCAGGAAGTGGGAGTGTGAGAGAGAGACAGGCAGACATACACGCTCAAGGGCTGAAGCCTTTATTGGGGTTGGGGCATCACCCAAGTAGGTTTCCCACAGGGAGCTCTAATGGTGGAGAGTAGGTAGGCATGGGTGCCGTGGGGTCACACCATGCCTGGGAGGGGTCACTGTGGCATGGATCTGCACGTCCATGTGGGCTGTGGGGTCAGGGGGTGAGCCAAACAGGCTACATCCAGCTGCCCCACAGGGAAGGGGTCACCAGGAGGCAGTGGTGTGAGGCAGGTGTCTGGATGGACCACCCTGAGGAACTGGGAGGGGAGGAGAGCTGGAAACCATCCAGGTGACTGAGCCCTGTTTCGGGTGCAGGAGTCCACCTTGTAGTCAACAAAGATGCTGAGGCAAGCTGAACTTAGAAGAACTCACTACAGTGTACTGTCCCCCGTCTTACACTAGCACATACTTGAGCTGCTGCATCCAAAGCCGCAGAGTACTGCCACAGTGTGGCCTATGATCACCAGTCTGACTTGCAGTCACCCCACAAGGACTTTGGGAGGTGGATCCCCAGCAGAGAAGCCGCCACATCGGCTCTCTGGGTTTGGAGGAGGCAGGGAAGAGTCTGGGAGTAGAGAGTAGGAAACAGCCATGGAAGGGAATCTACAGGTGGGAATTTTAGCAGCAGAGTCAGCATCCTCCCCTCTCTCCTACCTTAGCCACGGTGCGCAGAGCTGGGCTGACCACTCAGAGCTGTCTTTTCAGGCTCCTTCCCCACCATGGCCTATAGGCAGCTCAGCTGCCACTGGGTAGAGCTAATTGCAACTCAGGTAACTTGCACATCTTTTCTCTCCTCGCCTTATTTTACCTGGAACACCTTTCTCCCACTTACCGGCTTAGCTAGCTCCTGCTCATCCTTCAAGACTCAGCCAGGGTGTCACCTCCTCTAGGAAGCCTTCCTTGATCCCCACAGACAGAGACAAGCAGTTTTCCTCACTATTCCATTGGGATTCTTGTGCATTTAGTGCACAGCACTTATCATCTGGGTGCAGTTAACAGTATTTGCTCACCTGCCCACCACCTTTTCTTCCTGTTTGCTGCCCCACAGACAGAGACAAGCAGTTTTCCTCACTATTCCATTGGGATTCTTGTGCATTTAGTGCATAGCACTTATCATCCGGGTGCAGTTACAGTATTTGCTCACCTGCCCACCACCTTTTCTTCCTGTTTGCTGCCCCAGTGTTAGGCAGCATGCCTGGCATGTAGAGGCTCTTCATGCTTGCTGAGTGAATATGTGAGGGATGAAGAACCAGGAGGAGAAGTGGGAGATGAAGGCTGGGGGTGGGGGGATGTGCACATAGTGGAGTGGGGGCGTGGGACAGTTTGAATTCAGCATGGGAGACAGTCATGAGCCACTGACCGCCGTAAGCAGGGCTGGGTAGGGGTGGGTTGCATGGTCAGAGCCATAGAAGAGACTGTTGGTCTGGCCACATGGACAGGGTAGCGGAGAGCAGGCAGGTCCTGGGGCAGGGATGCGTTAGGAGCTGTTGGGCCTGAGCCAAGGTGGGAGAGGTGGCTGGGAGGATAGCACTGAGTGGGAGATGCTGGGGAAGAGAAGTGTGGGCCGAGCATGACACAGCCATGTCTGAACTGGTATTTGTTATGGTTCTGCCCAGCGACTGGCACATAGTCGGTGCTCAACCAACAGTTGTTGAATGAATGAATTCACGTCTCCTCTGAGCACGGCTGGCTCACTTTCAAATGCTCATGTTGTGCTGGGCAGCAAAGAGAATCAGTGGGAGTAACCCAGGAGCCTGGTAAGGAACCCCCAGCACTGCAGAAGGATGCTTCCAGAAACAAATGCTAAAGTGAAGCGCTGGAGAGGCATATCCAGAGCAGCGAGGAGGTGGCGTGAGGCTTCCCCGAGACCCAGGGTTGCCTGGGACCTCTGTGCCAACAGCACTCACATTGGCTTTCCCAGGTCCCCAATGAGGAGCCTGCAGTTGGCCCCCGGGGGAGCCCTGGAGGTCTGCTCTGCTTCCTGCCTCCTTTGGTGGCCTGTAGCACCGTATGCACACAGTATTCCTGGGGACAGGTTCAAGCCATATAGTGGGTCGAATTGTGTCTCCAAAAACATATGTTGAAGTCCCAACCTCTGGTTCTTGGCAACATGACTTTATTTGGAAAGAGGGTCATTGCAGATATAATAAAGTTAAAATAAGTTCAGACTGGATTAGGGTGGGTCCTAAATCCAATGACTGCTGTCCTTATAAGGAAAAAGTGATTTAGAAACATCCAGACACACAGGGAGAAGGCCAAGTGAAGACAGAGGCAGAGATTGGAGTGATGCTGCCACCAGTCAAGGACCTCCAAAGATTGGCAGTGCCCACTACTAGTACCATGAAGGGCAGAGTCTTCCCTAGAGGCTTCAGAGGGAGCATGGTGCTGCCAATACCTCAGTTTTAGGCTTCTAGCTTCCAGAACTTTGAAAGAACACATTTTTGTGGTTTTAAGCCACCTGGTGTTTGGTCATTTGTTATGGCAGCCCCAGGAAACCAATAGGCAATATCACTTAGTGTTTAAGTGATATTTTTATTTATATTTGTGGGCCCAAATCAAGTCACATACTGACCCTACTAGGGATCAGCTGTGTGAACTCCAATGAGTTACTTGACCTTTCTGTGCCTTCATCTCTCCGTGGATTGTTAATGGGTTGAGTTAATGAATCTAAAGTACACAGACAATGAACAGGCATCCAGCATGATGTAACCATTGTAAGAGCACTACTTACAGTGAAAGGTGTCGTGCTTAAGAATTTGTTTCTTGCGGGGTTCAGTACTACTAGTACTCATTCTTTAGGGCACAGAATTGTTCTATGCCATTTTACCTCTATCATTTCCATCATACTTATTATTTCTCCAGAGGAAGACATGAGAAAACCTCAAT